TAGAGGGGGAGGATCACCTCCTTGGCCCTACTTGAGATGCACCTGTGGATGCACGATAGGGTCCAGTTAGCCCTGCCGACCGTGACCTCGCATTGTCGGCCCGTGTTCATCTTGGAGTCAATGATGACTCCAAGATCCCTTTCTGCCTCTGTGCTCTCAAGAAGGGAGTTTCCCATCTTATAAGTGTGCTGCCGGTTACTACTGCCCAAGTGCAGCACCCTGCACTTGTCCGTATTGAAACGCATCCTGTTTTTGTTAGCCCACCCTTGCAACCTATCCAGGTCTTACTGCAGTCTTTCCCTCCCTACTAGCGTGCCCACCTCACCCCAAATTTTGGTATCATCAGCAAATTTGAACAGGTAGCTTTTCACCCCGTCGTCCAAATCGCTGATAAATAAATTGAACAGTGCGGGCCCAAGGACCGAGCCCTTGGGGACTCTGCTGTCCACTTCCCCCCAGGTCGAATATGACCCGTCCACCACCACCCTCTGAGTACAACCCTTCAGCCATTTAGCAATCCATCTGACTGTGTAGGCATCGATGCCACAGTCACCTAGTTTTTTTTAATGAGGATGGGGTGGGAGACAGTGTCAAAGGCCTTGCTGAAGTCCAGAAGTGTTATATACTAACACTTAAGTGTGGGAATAAACATCTGCAGGATTGGAGCCCTAACTGGCAAATCACTGAACCTATACAGGCAGTCCTAGACTTACAACATTTCAAGTTACAACATTTCGCACTTACAAGATTTCTAAATTGGCACCCTGTTTCAGCTTTCTGATGTCAGTTTTGACTTTACAATGTCTGCTCTGACGTGATGCCATGCCAGAGAACAAGTCGCTATGTCACCCATCTCCCCAGAGAACATCTGTCCAAACTTCCTTGGACACTTTCTTTAAGAAAGGAGACAAGACTCCAGGAAAACCTGCGGCCAAGACTCCTGAGATGACTCCAGCCAAGAACCCTTCAAAAAGTCCAGCAAAGTCACCTCAAAGAAGTTCTTCCAAATCAATATGATTGCTATTTACAATATAAATACATTAATGTAGCTATATTACTCATCAATAATTGATCAAGTACAAAATTCTGGGTTATTTTTTATGAAACTAGTGTATCAGGCCTTGGTTCAAGAACCAATCCCCCATCTATAACATTGTTTCTTATGGGAAAATTGGTTCCAAGTTACAACATTTCGACTTAAGACATTGTTTTCAGGAACCAATTGTGTCGTAAGTCCAAGGACTGCCTTTACTACTAATCCTCAATATCTCTAACAGTTAGCCCTACAGCCTGTTATCCTGTGCATGCCCAAGAAGGACGTTCAGTCCTCAGGAAAACACTAACAGCAATACAAAAGAAAAGTGGAGGACCCTGAGCCCCAGCAGAGCAGTCATGCCCTCCCCCACCACTCCGGCTCCTAACTTAGTCCAGCCTCCCAGGGAGCCACAAAACCAGTGCCACCTGGCGCGTGAGATAGAGGAAGGGGAGGCACTTACCTGCCACCTTCTCCAGTGGGACAGGGACCCCCCAGACCCCGAGAGAGGTGCACCACTGGCGGCGGCCCACTGCTCATGCACAAGATTTAAAAGGGCCCACCAATGGCAGAAGCCACAGTTTAGGTTCAGCTCTGGCATGAGATACACAGACAGAAGCCCATTGCACTTCTGTGAGCCCAGGACCCCCAGTGGACACTTGGCAGACCCCGACCCTGACCCTTAGCACAGCCAGGAGGTAGGTGGGGCCCGCGGTGGGTGGAAGCTAGACAGCTGCAGGAGGCAGCTGAGAGGAGCCAAGGAGGTTCACACCCCCACCCGGCTCCTACTTAGCCCAGCCCCGCAGGGAGCCACGCAATCAGAGCCATGCAAACAGGCATGCTCTGGGTCCAGCACTGGAGTTAGCACAGGAGTTCTCACAGGAGGGCGACTAGGAGGGGCACCAGGCTCTAGGTGGCAAGCCTGAAGAAAAGGGTCAGCACAGCAGTAGCCCAGACTACCACCTGTACCATGGTGGGGATGCGTCGCACTCCAAAGTTCCCCTCTGTCACTGCCCACCCCCTCCTCCCCTGGCACCTCGGAGTTGTTCACCCAGATGGAACCC